AGTTATATATATATATATATATATATATATATATATATATATATATATATATATATATATATATATATATGTGTGTGTGTGTGTGTGTGTGTGTGTGTGTGTGTGTGTGTGTGTAATTGGTAAATGGACAGTACTTATATAGTGCCTTTCTGTCTTATTTCAAGATACTCAAAGCACTTTACTCTACAATCTGTGTCCTCATTTACCCATTCATACAACACTCTATTAGATCTCTACAAAGCTAATTGAACAAATGTGTGTGTGTATATTTATATATGTGTGTGTATATTTATATAAATCATGTGAGGTACATCAGGACTAGTTACTAAATGACAAAGAATGTAAAAAAATAAATAAATATAGAACTGTGTACTAGTACACACTGACTTTTGATTGCTTATTGATTAACCCTCCTGATGTGTTGTGGGTCAAACTGACCCGTTTTAAAGTTAAAATATCTATTAAAAAATGTTGAAAGTATTTTTTTTTCTGTATGTAACTTCTGCTTGGCTTAGTAAGCATAATCAACAAATGCAATGAAAATAGTTCATTTTACATATTTTCAACACCCTCCCCCATCGTTTGGGTCACTTTGACCCGGCAGTGGAAGTGGCGTTTAAAGGTTCAACTGTGAGACATATCTCACCTCACACCCACACAGACACACACAGATTCAGACCCTCTCCCTGTTCGGTTTATCTCACTAGTAAACTGCTAGAATTCAGGTGTTATGACTTTTAACAGGAACCTTTTAAACTCCACCCATATTGAGTGGAGACTCACTCAGCAGGGGAGGGGAAACATAAATTCAATCATGACAGTGAAATAGAAACTTCTAAAGAGAAAGCTCACAATGGAACGGTCCAAAAGAACAGAGCTGAACTCCCTGCTGAGCTGCTGGTAACAGAGAACAGGGTCTCTCAGTGTTTTTCACAGACAGCACAACACTGGTGTCTTACTGCCCTAAAAAAAAAAGGTGGGATATGTTGTGCTCATGAGCCCTTTGCACAAAAAATGCTGAAATCATTCATTCATTCAACCTTTATTTAGACAGGTAAATCCCATTGAGCCTCGAGGACTCATTTACAAGAGAGACCTGATTTCAACAAAGGAAGATGACAACAATGGACAACAGCAACAACAATAAACAATTATAAAAAGTCATACTGCAGGTTTTTTTTTTATTTATTTTTTAACAAATAGGATGGCTAAAAGAAAAAGGTAACAAAAAAACCCAGCTAGATTCTAAGGCGAATGTAGAAAACTAAAAACAGGAACATGTCTGCATCGGTCCCTGCCAGGAGTCCAACAGATTCTTAAAGACACTTAGAGAGGACAAGGTTGAGAGCTTCAAATCTTTTTGTAAGATATTCCAGGAAACAGGAGCGGAGTAGGAGAAGGCCCTTTTGCCAAGTTCAGTCCTCATTGAGGGAACACTGCAGGTAATAATGTCCTGAGAGCGCACTCCGTAGCTGCACTCACGCAGAGACATGTAGGAGGAGATGTATGAAAATGTACCAGTGAGAGAGTCTGCGTGAAGTTAATGATGTCCAGTTAACCAGTGAATACAGGGTGCAGTGGTGGGTACGATAATCACAGCCAGTTATGAATCTTAGTGCACCATGATAAACAGCATCCAACATCTGCAGGGTTCTTGTAGGAGCGTTCATGTAACGCTCAGTAACGAAATGTAACGAAATCAGCACACGAGAGGACCAGAAACCAAATATGATCCTTGACAACATACCACCAAAGAGAGGATGGGTAACTTGGACAAGGCCATGGGGCTTACAGCACAAGGCGAATTGCTGAAGGCCGCTGCTCATCTTCTACAACATAACTGATGTATCAGCCTGCAACACATGTTGTCATTTGGACAAAAATCTTTCCAGAGTGGAATATGCCTGTAGAAGAGGAGCGTCTTCCTAGAGGAGCTGGGGAAGGCGCCTATGGTACCACATGTACAACGAAGACAGCACATGCCAAGGACCACAGCTACTGCAGCTACAGTAAGGGAGATCCAGGACAGGACAACACCCAGTGCACCAATGTGAGAGGTAAGTGTGTCTATGTAAGAACATGATATGTGCCTTAGAAAGAGCAAAAACAGAAATCATCATCATTTTTCCTGGTTGCTGATGGGGGGAAAGGAAGAAGACGTGCCAGGTTTGCACGCCATCTGATGATAAGACGAGCGTGGCGTGGGTGAAATGTGCTAAATTCATTTCCACAAAGCGCGTTGTGATGACACGTGTCTCGTGTGCTGAGGACGACAAAACACGTGCATCTTGTTCATTTGCACCTATTCATTTTTGCGTATTTCTGGTTTTAAACATCGCACAGTGTTTACTATCACAACATGATGACATGTCACTCGTGGACTGTGGAGACACACATGCACTGTGTTCACGTTGCTAATTCCTTGTTTTCTTCATTTCTGGTTTAAAAGCAGTGACAGAATAAAAATTATTTTCAACACAAATCCTCATGGCTCGTGATGATTTTAAATCAACGGGTCAATTTGACCCCGAACAAAACAGGTTCATTTTAAACATCACTACTTGAAAAACTAATTATAACCATTATTGTTTTATGTGTAGGTATTTTTCAGTGGACATGAAAAAAAAAACATGCATTTAAAAAAAAAAAATAATGGTTGATTTATCCTCTTTGACCCTTAAGAACATAATTGTTGATTTAAATGGTTGATAATGGAGTTAATAATCATAAACAAAAATGTTTGGGGGATTTTATATATATTTTTTGGTTTCTGACCCCATTGCATGATTAAACATTCCTCAGGTCAAACTGACCCAGGAACATCGTGGCTGTTCCTCAGAAACGAACACAACAGGAGGGTTTTAATTGCTCCTCCTTGCATATCTCTAGTAAGTTTTGGCAGAACACTTCGCAGCTCTCAGTGTTGGATCAAAGCAGGATGCTGACTCACTTTGCCTGACGACTTGATCCCTCGGATGAGAGCTGCAGCCACGATCATGGAGCTCAGCAGTAAACAAAGGGCCAGGTGCCAAACTACTGGCCCAGTTTCATCCAGACCACTGGATCTCTGCAGAGCTACACGGCTAAAACGACAGGAGAAATATCACTAGTGTGCATTTAGAGACAGAACTACGTTGTGTGCATTGTTTTGCATGAAATTTGATATTCTTACTCCCAGTACTGCTCACTCGGACTCTGCACGGGCACTGTGATTATATCTGATGGCGGACAAGTGTTGTTTCTCTGAGTCCAGTTGGCCGTCAGAACAGCACTCACATTACAATGCACTGAGAAAAAAACAAGTACTGGTGAATGGCTTACCTGAAATATCCCTTGATAAGGATAATTTCCCAGAATGCAATTATCTGTAAAGGTTACGTTTATATCTACAGAGCAATTGAAGGATGAGCCTCAGATACATCTTTTCATTTATCATGTCATTCTAGCAGATTTACTTCTTGCAAAGACAGGGAATTAAATAAAATTAAAAAATCACCTATAGGAGTTTTGCTGCAGTTACTGTCAGCCCAGCTGAGACAATCGGACCACGGCAGACGGGACTGCATGGAGGCGAACATGTAGTACAGACTGTATGCAATGATGACATTGTAGTAAATTGATACTATCAGAGTGACCATGACCATGCCGATGCCAACGCCTGGGAGGGAAGATGAACATTGATTACAGTTGGGTTTTATAACAAGACGTATACACAAACAACAAACTTCTGGCAACCTCAGTTTCTTTTCACTTTCCTTGAAAAGTCCTGAACTTCCTATAATATTTTTGGAAAGAGGTCTTGATCCATGATTCTTCCAGCTTTCAGAAGGTCTTCAAGGTTTTACTTTAAGGCTGCCATTTTTTAAAACTCGTTTTCTGTTCCGTCAGTCTACCTGATCATGACTACACGTAATGCGCTTTAAAAAAAAAACCAATTGGAACAAACGAAGAAGCGTCTGTCTAAAAAGGTGTCTACAGTGTCTGAAAGTCGTGTTTTAAGAAACAGGAGCAAATGCAGCAACAATCTAACTTGAGAGATGCTTCATCTTTCAGGTGATCATTGACTGAATGTCAAGATTTCAGCTTAGCTCCGTAGAAACCAACTTGTTGGAGCTAAAATATTAGGTTACACGTCAAACCATGTTGTCGTTGGCATTTTTTCCCAATGTACTGTAATTTCCGTTGTATAAGCCGCTACTGGGAGCAGGAGTCAAGGCAAGTCAAATTTATTTATAAAGCATATTTAAAAACAGCAGCTGTTACTAAAGCGGGGAGTGGTGCTTTATAAATAAATTTGACTTGGACTTGAATCCTGCTCTAGCTCACGACTCACGGAGAGAGGGGGGATCCGCCCTCCGTTCTCTCCTCCTCTCCCTGTTGCGTTGGTTCGGCTGTGGCCTGCTCCGTAATTTCACTGGTCAGATTGTTTTTATTTTAAACCTTAATCATTATACATATCTCGTGGGGGGTGGGTCCTCGTTTCTCAATGAGTTTACCTCATTGGTTCATTGTGGTTGATTGCTGATGGCCTCAGGGAGGGATTATGGGTAAAATTGAAGTACATTTTTAACAATTTCAGTTAACTGTTTAGCATTGTTCTTTAAGTTATTATTACTAGTGTGTTCTCAGTCTAGTTTCTGTGTTCATGTGTTAGTTTGTGAGTTGTGTGTGACTGACTCTGTGTGTGTTGAGAAACAAATTAAAGTGCATGAAACTCCATCTGGTGGTTGATTCTTGACCTAGAACAAGAGCTGCACGTTTCTCGCAGTAGCTACGTAAGTGCTGCCTCTCATGTTGCAACGTGAACATGTTATCTTACAATCTAGCTGTTGTTGTTTATAGACTTTTAAATACTATTTTCAATCATTTGTTCTTCTTAATTTTTACTTGCTTTCTTTTAAGATTGTCTACTGTTGTCTTTGTTGTTTATAATACACAAGTGTGGCTTATTTATGCAGAAAAGTGTTTTTTCGTGTGCGCTCTATAGACTAGCAATTATGATAATTAAATAAACCAGAACAAACTATATCTTAGTGACAAGCTGCAGGTAACTTAAATCAAATTTAATGTATTTTTTATGTAATTAAAAAAAAATTTTTTATTGCTGAATTTTCCTTTAAGCGTCAAAACAAAAGTGGTTCATCCTTTGAGTTTAGGAGATTATTTTTTATATATAACTGAATAGTTTTCAGGTTAGGGTCAGAGTTAGGAGTTTGAATAAAAACAAATACGTTTCTCTGAAAATGATCAGGTACTGGGACATAAAACGAGTCCGAAAGCAGAACAATGCCAAAGAAAAGCAAAGAAAGACCTTCAGAAATCCTAAAACTTGTGAATCAATACAAAGAAGTCTGGCTTCTTTGAAGAAAAATACAAAGAAATGTGGAGTGACTCATACGTTTCCATGCTATGAATATATATTTTTTGAATTATGCTCAACTTCTAACAATTTTCAGGACTTTACATGAGAGCTCCTGTTGTCCTCAAAGCTGATACTTATAGACAAACGTTGCTATGTACAGAAACACAGCAGCACATCCAACATCTGTTTGTGCTACATTAATGAACATAGCGTTATTTTCTTGATCAACAACTTTTTTAAAAAGTTGCAGCCTTTCCATGAAAAACAAACTCCATCGTACAAATTGAAAATATTCCTGTATAGTCATCGTTCTGCTTGAGTTAGCTGCATGAAGCCCCAAAAAATCATAAAAGATACGGTTTTGTGTTCAGAGTTAATTTTTGCTCAGAGTTGTTCATTAACAGCGAACCTCATTAAACAAAAGATTCATTTGTGTTCAAACAGTTGATTATTAACCACACACACCATCGACCTGTCGTCCATTATTCCACTGCCAAACTGGTCTTAAGACGCTCAAATAGTTTTCCAACATCAGTGATGATCGTCTCACCCTGCAGAAGTGGCACCGATCTCCATACATTGATTGGACCTTGGCTGCAAAACTGCCCGAAGGCACTTTCCAGGAAGAAGAGGGGGATTCCCGTCACCACCAGCATCATAAAATAGGGGATGAGAAAGGCACCTGGTCAGGATAAGAAGGAACGTTATGATAATAGCTTACTGTAATAAGACGCAGCTAATGAATAACAAAAATCAATGTACCTCCTCCATTCTTGTAGGCCAAATATGGAAATCTCCAGATGTTTCCCAGTCCGACAGCGTAGCCAATCATAGATAGGATGTAGTCCCGTTTACTGGACCAGTTCCCACGCTCGGCATTCTCATCCTCATCATCCACATGTGGGTCCTGATCATTGAACAGGTTCAGGTACAATATAAACTGGTCAGTATGAACAGGACAACCCCTCCAGCTCATCAGAAAATGCTTGATGGGTTTTAAAGCAACAGATTGAGAAATAAGGTGATTATTTCTGAACCAGGTCTTGGTGCTTCATGATGTTGACTCCATGATGACAACAAATAGCAGGAAACCATTAAAAAAAACCTTTCAGTTCAACAAGCCTCATGTGTTCTTCTGTTACTTTATATTTCTGGTCAGAAATAGACGCAGAGCTGTAATTTGCAAGTTATTTCCTCAATGAGCTCAATGTGGAGAAACTATCCATTAGAGTCTACGCACCTGTTCAGCAACTGCTGGATTTCTGAACAGCAAGTCTGTGAAACTGCCCAAGCCGTATTTCTTCATGTCCTTTCACCTCGCGTGCCAAGTTGTAAGAAATCTGAATGTTTCTGCATGTTGGTTGTATTGTTTCCTGAAGATTAGAGAGGGGACGTCTCCCAACCCATCTCCTGCCTTGACCCTCCCTCTGTGGTCTCTGACTGTGTTTACAATCAGTCCTCTTTAACAGGAACCTGTGGCTGAAGATAAAGAACACAATGTCAGTAAATCACCAAGATCTTCTCCCTCTGAGCTAATAAGGACCTTCGTTTTGTGGTTTGTGCTTCACAACTCAGCTAAAGCAGCTCCTCCACCTCCTCCAGAGATTATAATTTATAAATAGAGAAAGAAGTTTGACTGTGATATCACAACAGTGTTATATGTTTGCGTGTTTTCCTTACCCCCTAACGCCACTGCTGCTGATGCATGCTGAATGCATCATGTTGGTCGGTGACATCCACACGTAATGACAGCTTGTGTGCAGACGGTCATTTTCTGGTGAACCGGTCACATCATCTGAGTGTAATCCTCCTGACCCGATGATGTGACCATAAACACACGACCCGGCTGCTGACACAGCGATAAGAGTAAAAGAATCTGCTCTTGAACATCTCAGATCATTTTCACTGATGTTACGTTTAATAACATGAAAACTCAAGTTGAACTAATTCTGTTGAAATGAACTAAATCTGTGTGACCGTATGTTGCACTGTAAAACAGAGTTCACTCTTTAAAAGGAAACTTGAGTTGATTGTGTAAATAATCCCTCAGGGGTCTATCCTGAGGAAACATAGTCTTTCTTTTCACTGTTATGCTGATGATTGTCAGATTTATCTGCCCTTAAAAGCCAATAGTTCTTGCTCCGGTCACCCTCGGAAAATGTCTTGATGACATTAAGGCATGGATGTTTTTTGTAAGTTTTAGAAAACTAACATTATTGTGTTTAGCCTTTAGTTCCTGTTAACCTTGACTCTCTTGAGTCGTATCTTAAGCAGTCTATTACGAATCTTGGGATAGTTTTAAACTTGGATCTTAAGTTTAATAAACAAATTAACTGTTCTGCAGAAGAGCGTCTTCCAGTTAAGGCAGATCTGACCTTGAAAAACGAGTCCATGCCGTCATTACAACCCCACTACTGTAACACGCTCTATGCTGGGGTCAGTCAGATCTCCATTTCTCGGCTCCAGCTCGTCCAAAAGGCTGCAGCTCGACTCTTAACGAGAACTTGTAGGTTTGAGCACATTTCACCAGTTTTATCCTCCCTTCACTGGCTCCCTGTACGTATCAGAAGAGATTTTTAAATTCTTCTGTTGACCTTTAAATGCATAAATGCACCCTCATACGTCTCTGAGCTACTGAAACCATATGTTCCTTCTCAGGCAGTGAGATCATGTGATGAGCTGCTTTTGGTGGTAAGAAAAACCAGGTTGAAGCTCAGAGGAGATCTGGTCTTTTCTGTTGAGGACCCTAAACTTTGGAACAATCTGCCCCTCAACATTAGACAGGCCACTTCACTTCCTGTTTTTAAATCTCTTTTAAAAACACATCTGTTTTCATTGACTTTTAACACAGTGTGATTTGATGTAGTACTTTATTGATTTGTGTTTTTATGTTTCTTTTGATGCTTTTAATACATTTTTGGTTTGATTTTTTCATTAAATTACTGCCATTGATTTATTGTTAAGCAGTCTTAAGACAGCTTAAGTTTTTAAATGTGCTTTATAGATAAATTTGACTTGACTAAATATATATCATTATTTTGAACTTTATACAGCCCTGTGCAGAAGTTTTAATTATATCCAATTTTTTATATTTTGCTTTCAAGGAGCTAAACCGTCTGATGATATTTTAAAGTATTAGTATATTTTTTTTTTATTTTGTTTAGTTTATGTACTTGATCATGACAGAAATGGTGCTGTAGCTTTAAAGATAAAAACGAGGGCAAGCTGGTACAAACAAACAACAACAAGGTGTCAAGTAAAAAAAAAAACAACCTATCTACAGCTTAAGATCACATCTTAAAGTCTTTTTTTTTTTTTTTGAGAAATTAGGAAGATAAATCTAGAAAAGATCAGACAGGACCTGAGAGATGTTTCATCCTTCGGCTGATTATTGAACATGTTTTCAGCTAATGGCTCTTTGGAAATCACTTTAATATTAAAAACATCAACAAATAAAATAAGTTTAATGTAATTTTTTTTATGCCGTTCGGAATTATTTTAACTAAAGAATTGGGAACAAAACGCGTCTTTGCGACAGGCTGCTGGTAACAAATTGCCATGTGACATTTTTTTTTAAAAATTTTATTTCCTTTTTTTGTTTTTGCTTCCATGTCTGAAGGTTGTTGAAACAACATTTTGCGAGTAGAGACTTTTCATGCCCGAATGATTTATAGGTCAGAGTTATGTGGCTCAACCAACAAAATAACAATCTTCTGAAAATTTCCAGGAACTGGAAATAAGTGGGAAAAAAACAACCAAAGTCCAAAAATCAAAAATAAACAAACCAACAAACAACAACTAGACCAAACTGAGCAAGAGCTTCATGAAGTCAGAATGAATAATGATCAGGCTCACCCTAAAAAATAGAAGAAAGTTAGGCTCCTTGTAAGTAAAATACTTAATTACTATTAAAATAATAACAATAATGATAAATAAATAATAAATATTGAAGGGACCAAATATGTACACTGCTCTGTGTTTAGGTTTAATGTTTAAAAGTGGATTTTAGTGACATTTCTCAGGTTTAAGTGAAGAAAACAACATCGGGGAAACAAATAAATCGCACATCAGCCGGTCATCCTGTCCTGAAAAAATAATCCCTCTGATTTCTCGGTTCCACCTGAGTTTAACAAAAGAGGTTTAGTTAAGTGATTACTAGCTAATTCAAAGCCTTTGTGTGTTTGTGAGTGTGTTCATGCCAAATGTTTTTCCAGCCACACACCCAGTGAGGCAGGAATTACAACAAATGTGAGTTTGACTTCCTTTTCTTGTCACCGCCTCATAAATATGTTTTTATGTCAGAGGACAGTTTGCTACAATGTGGTCACAAACTGTGTAATTGAGTAAAGATGAAAATGAATTCTTTGAGCTCTTTTGGTTTGTTTGTGCAAGCAATTCTTTTAAAGCTGGAACCATCAGAAATCTAGTTTTTATGTTTTTTCTGCGTAGTTTTTGAGAACATGAAAGTGTCACATATCTGCATAATAAACCAGAGGAGCTTGTTTATGTTGCAACTGATGGGATTTGTTGTTGCAGAATGATTTATTTGTGTTTTTCACTTTTGTGAGAAAAAGTTCAGCACGACAAAGATCTCTGTCTGTTTGTTCAAAGTTGTCACAGCTAAAACAAAATGAATTGAAATCAATTTATTACATATGGACTGACTTAATGCTTGAGGCACAATCCAATATTTTGAGGCTTCCTGTGCAGTCAGTTTATGTTTATAAATAAATAAATAAATAAATAAATAACAGGAGCAAAGCACTATTTTCACGGTTTAAAAGCCACTTTTTGAATCCAAATAAAGCTTTAAATAAGCTTCATAAATTTGTGAAAACCTCCATTAAAATAGAAATCTTAAATTGTAAAGATTGTTTGGCAAAAAAAAAAATAATAATTATGGTGAAAGTGTCAAAATCAATGATTGACAAGTGAACAGTCTAAGTGCAGAACATTAAAGTGAAGTAGGTTGAGTAAACACAATTTCCATCCATCCAGTATCTTTTACCCTCTTCATCATTTTCGTGTCATGCAGGTTTGTAAACACAATTTAAAAACTAAAACTAAAACTAAAACTAAACAAAGTGCTGCAAAAGCAAAAAGAACTAAACTTGTGGGATGAGCAACAAATATTTGGACTTAAAAAGGCAGGAAATAACTAGGATCAGTACAGAACAAAGAAAACCAAGAGACATCCACACAGGAAGAAATAATCCAATGAAGACTAGGTGTACTGACCACTAATATGGATCAAGTGTTGCCTACTAATTGCTAACATGGACCAGGTGTGCTGATTGTAGACCAGATGTACTGGTTGCTAACATGGACTAGGTGTACTATTTACTAAAATAGACCAAGTGTGCTGATTGCTAACAAGGACTAAGTGTGCTAATTACTAACATAGACCAGGTGTGTTAATAGCTAATGTAGACCAAATTGCTAACATGGACCAGGTGTGTGGATTGCTAACATGAACCAGGTGTATTGATCGCTAACAATGACCAGGTGTGCTAATTGCTAACATAGACCAGCTGTGCTGATTGTTAACATGGACCAGGTGTACCACTTGCTAGCATAGAACAGGTGAGCTAATTGCTAACATGGACCAGGTGTGTGGATTGCTAACATAGACCAGCTGTGCTAATTGTTAACATAGACCAGGTGTGCTAATTGTTAACATAGACCA